CCAATCTTCTATTATTAATTTTACGTATTGTTTAAAATTAGTCCATTTTTACGGAGTTAACTGGCCATTAATCTCCAATTATTCGGGACAAATTTTAAACGGAGCGTAGCGTAACGGACGTGTTAATGGCTAATTAATCACCATTAACACACCACTAATGCCATGATTAATTCAATGGGTTAATGGTGTAGGAGTTACAACTTTTTAAACTCCTTTATTATAAAAATCAAAGGCTCTCTCATTTGGTTTTGGTGTGACTTGCGTGAGAAAGAGAGAAAGGAAAAAGTGAAAACATTTCTTTTGTTTTCTTTTAAAAGAGAGCTCTTGGTTTTCCGTACAAATTTCCGGCCATCCCCTTTTAAGTTTTTGGTCGCCAACGTTCCTACGTTGTTCGTGTTCGTTGGTGTGTGGTTGGTCCGTACAATCTCCACACACGATAGCGGTTTTATCCTGGGAGGAGAGTGCCCACGTTTTTCCGGTACGGTAGGCGGGCACTACTACCTTAAGGACAGCTCCGGCGACTCCGCTGTCCTTCCACGGTGTTGCGTTTTTGCAGGTTCAGTTCATAAAGACCTCGCTGCATTCTGTCCTAGTGCATAATGTCCTCGCAGCCCAGTGCATAATGTCCTCGCAGCCCAGTGCATAACGTCCTTGAATCGCTGTCCAGTGTTTAAAGACCTCACTGTCCAGTGCTTAAAGACCTTGCTGTCCAGTGCTTAACCCCCTCGTTGTCCAGTCCTTAATGTCCTCGTACAACAAGGCCATTTGAAGATATAGAAATTTATTTTCAACTTTATTTATTTTGTAATATTCTGAATAAATTATAAATTCAGAATTTTATTTATTGTTTATTTCCGGGGCCATTCATCTTCCCCGTCCGTTGTAATCCGTACAAAAATTGTAACAATCTTAAGGTAGTAATCATATCCGTGCGCAATGGCGGGTATGGACGGATTCAGTTTTGACGCTCACACCGGAAACGGGAGTAGTTCCGAGACTCCGGTTGTGAACGTTTCGGCTGGATTGGGTGGCTCTGTTGGGCAGGCCACTCCGATCAACATTCCTTTCGGATCGAGTGCGGCCATGGGGTCCACTCCGATCACCACCTTCGTTGGATCGAGCGCGACTATGGGGTCCGCTCCGGTTACCTCGGTTATTGGACCAACCGCAGCTACGGCCGTAATGGTCACCCCACTCGGACCGAACATGGCTTCGGCCATACCGGTCATTCCCTCACTTGGACCGAACACGGGTGTCTTCACATCCGCACCGGTCGGACATCCTACTGTCATGCTGCCTGCAAACTATGTCAAAGAACCGGCAAAGTTCACAGGTGTTGGCTTTAAAATATGGCAGCAAAGGATGTTATTTTGGCTGACCACGCTCAACCTTGCGAGGTACTTCAGGGAGGATCCCCCTATTATGGGGGAGAACACGGACGAGCCAACAGTTTGTTGGAACACGGGTTTACGCCTTCGTCGTACTAAACTGTGTTCGTTTATGACAGGTTTTGATAATGCCAAACCGCCGCGACATATCGAATCTAAAGTGAGCAAAACTAAGGCGAAGGAACATGGCATGATGACTTGAGAACCAAGAACCCAGAATCAAGAACGAAGAACTAGAATTGTATTGAGTCGGTCTTAATGTGATCAAGACCGGCACAAAATTCCAAATCTTGGCTCTCTAGGCTTAATTCATAAAAAAACTCCTTTACATATTCAAAAATACCTTTCTTAAAGTTTAAACTTGGGTCAAAACACTTGGAGTTCGCCCAAGCCAAAAACCAAGCCATCCGGCGTTCGGCTTTCAGAAACCGGCGTTCGGCTTTCGGTTTTCGGCATCGGTTTTTGGCGTCCGAACCAACCAAG